CTGGGGAGTGGTTTCTGGGGACTGGTTTCTGGGAAGTGGTTTCTGGGAAGTGGTTTCTGGCGAGTGCTTTCTGGGAAGTGGTTTCTGGGGGGAGTGGTTTTTGGGAAGTGGTTTCTGGGGACGTTTCTGGGGGGTGGTTTCTGGGAACCGGTTTCTGGGAAGTGGTTTCTGGGGACTAATTTCTGGGAGCAAAGCCCGAAGCCAAACCCAGAGACCCTACAGGAGCGAAGCCCTAAGCAAAACCAAAAGAGACCCTAAAGACGTGAAGCCCTAAGTGAAACCCTAAGACATCCTAACGCTGCAAAGCCCTAGGCCAAACCAAAAGAGACCCTAAAGAAGAAGTGAAACCCTAAGTCCCTCGCATGAAGGCCTAAGTCCAACCCAAAGACATCCTAAAGAAGCAAAAGAAACCCTAAAGGAGCGAAGCCCTACCTGCGCATGCTGCAGATAGGTTCACACCGAGATTGCAGAAGCGCATGTGATCCCAGTTAAGTTTCACGCAGATGAAACAATGATACTGCAGGGCAATGCTCCCGTCACAGTACCAGATCCAGCTACATTGACGGCAACAGGCAGAGGTGACAGGCGTGATGGCAACAGCTGGTGGGCATTTGGCGCTGTTAGCAGCAATTTAGAGCAGCAGCTAAACATGTTCACAAACCTGCAGCATCTGTCGCAGCACACAGCGCAAAGCTCACTACCGAGCTAGTAAAGTGGAGCTGGCAAGCAGAGACCTGCCTCAGCCGCCTCCTGGCTGGTGGATTACAATATCCGCCTAGAGCCAAAAGTTCCCACAATGGTCAAGGACACCATTTGGGCCAAACCTGCGTTGGCCTACTGGGGCATCTAGAATCGACTGATCCAAGATTTCATCCAGCTCGCAGGGCCAGCCCCACCCCAGCCAAAGCGCAGCATCGAGCCAACCTCAGAAGCTCCTCAAAATCACAAGCAGGTCCAGGAAATGGCCAAGCATTGGACGGAAGACTGCAGAGACAGCACGTCCCAGCTTGGTTTGGCCTACGCCGTTCAAATGCTACCCCAGCTCTACCAACAGATCAAGCAAACAGCACCAAATTGAGAAGATTCACCAGGCACATATCCACAAGGTCAGGCAACAGAAACAGGAGGCTATGCAAGAGTGGTTCACTAGCTCTGGCCGGATGGGCCACGCATTCCTGACGAAAACAGAGCTCAGGCTTGAGACCCTTTCAACATCTCCCTGTAGTCGACAGGGCACGAGAGAGAAGGGCTTACTGGCAATGACTCTGGGGGGGAGGCCAATTTGCACCAACCACTCAGCCCCTTGGAAGAAACTGCAAAACAGGCAGCCATCGCACAGACAGCCAGCTTGAAACCCCCTTATCCTCCACACAACTCTACAAGCAAGTGCAATGGTGCCCCAGGGACTTCAAAAAACTTCCCAAGTCAGCCTTAACCACACTTGCATGGCTGTGCAAGGGTCTCTTGCTTGGGCACCCTTGAGCGATGGGTTTGCTGACCGTTGCTCATCTTGATGTTGTCCTATATAGCTCTCAATCAGCAGCGGGCACCCCCGAAGACAAAACCTTTGAACCCACCTACATCGGAGTGGATTCTCTTCTCAGGGCAGAAACATGTGATGCTTTGATTCGTCAGGCAATCTGCTTCCTGATTCTGAAGCCACGGCAACCAAAACGAATGCAGGTCTGCGCCGTTCGCTTGTAGCGGGATCACCAACTCCATGAGGAACACGCGCAGAGGGAATTTCCCAGCAAGCAAGCGTGAAACCACAAAGAGTTTTCGCAATTGTTTGCCGCCACAGAACACAAACAAAATACACCCAAAATACGTGTTATTTTAGAAATATATGTTTGAATGTATGTTCATGTCTACATTTCCGTCACGGTCACTTTCTTGAAATCATGATTACATAGATGATAACTGATGTTTTAAACGTGTTAAACAGCTAAATGAGCTGAAAATAATTTCAGATCAACTATGTCATAAGATGGGTAGACCTCTATTCTCGGTAGCAATGGGGATTGTATATGTTTTTGGGCCACTGTTTCCGATCGTCGGTCTTCCAACGCAAAGACCCAAACTGGCTGATTTCGGCTTCTCAGGGCCTGGCGTGCTCGCATGCAACTCTTCGACAAGGACACTCTGCAGTTCTCTATGGCCCTGGAAGCCCTGCAACAGTCCTGTGCCTTGGCTCGTCTCACGTCCAGAGGCGTCTGGCTGCGGACAAAACACGGTGTGTGTGTGGCGTTTGCAGGGACTCTACACAACAATACTACTTTACCATACTTTACCCTACTTTACCTATTTTTTTACCCAATTCCAGTGCAGTCAGCAGGGGGGCTGGTTGATCATGCAAGTACCAGCCCAACTTGCATTGAACACTGATATCGGTTTGGACGCTCACCGACGTACCTGCACAATGTTAATGTTTCAGATTGTTTCACCAATGTGCAATCAATTCTGTTCTTCTGACGCTTCACCATTCTGTTCAATCAGCCAAGGTCTAAACTGCAGTAAGAAATAAAGGGTTAGTGCTTGGATTTTTTTGTCTCAAGTGTGTGTTTGGGGCATGTTTTCCGGTTGAGAGCAGGGAGCAACCAGGTGTCCCCCTCTACATTGTGTGAACAGTTCCTGCAGGACCAACAGAGGGAACGCACCAGAATTATCTAAGGCGGCTCACCAAAAATCGGATGTGCGTACCCGATGCAGATTGCTCTAGACTTGTGGGCCAACCATGTCACCAAGTCCTTAATGCGGACGGCAGACGGTTACTCTTTCTCACCCAAACTCCTGCAGTGTCTCTTGTGTGAAACTCATGTTCTCAAGTCAGAGGAGTTGATCGTAAAGGGAAGTAGACTAACGCACACATGTCGAGACAGTACCATTGAAACGGCACGATGTCACACATGAAATGAATTCAACACAATCAAAAACCCACTTCACACTTCACACTCAAGATTTGGTCAGTGCAACTTAGTATAGCTATATATATAGAACAATGTAACAATCTTACGACTAGACGACAGTGAACACACGTGTTTGGTGAAGCAACCACCCAGAAACTGTTTTTCTTGTTTGTCCAGACAACTCACATGTAAATACATGTTTCATTTTGATTCACTGGAACGCCTTAATTAGGGAAGGACCTCCTTGTGGCTCGTGCACTAGGCATGGCCTTGCAAAAGTCCTTCAAGGGCCGATGGACTCGGGCTTTTGAGTTTCTGGGCGTTTCAGCGTGGGTTTTTCGCGGGTCGGCGTCGATGGGTCATTGATCTGAGATTTTTCACCAGGGCAATTGGGAAGGAACAAGACTATACTGAAACTACAGTGCTGGTTTTGAGATGTGATGAGTCATCCTTCAGCGAATCAGCCCAACTTGGCTTGACTTAAGGTCGAGAAGTCTCTCATCGTTGACATCCGCACCGTTTGAGGAGTAGATATAAAATGATATAAAAACACTGCAGGAAACTTAATTTGGCGTGTAAGCTGGCCACTTAGGGTTTTAGATAATAATCCAAAGAGGTCACCATTTAGGTCACCTGGTTTGGGAAACATGAGCAACTAGACTACCAGCACCTTGCGTTCGCCCGGTGGTTTTTGGACACCACTTAACCTCTAAGAGGCTATTTGTAGACACCTCGAACGGTGTCGGTCCTGGTAGCTGAGAAGATGTGACAAGATCGAACTCGGAACTCGCTGGATATCCTGCGGTCGTCTTCGGCGTCTTCGGCGTCTTCGATCATCGGAGGATAGCCATTCGCCCGAAGGAAGTGAACTGCTTCGTGGTCCCTAGGGATCCAAGTACCTTCTCAGAAGGTGTTTGGAGTGGGTTTGGAGGGTCCAGGTGCCTTCTGAGAAGGTACTTGGATCCCTAGGGGGTGTGTGAACCATGAGAAAACCTTGCGGTGTTTTGGTCGGAAGCCTGGACTCACTATGTCCAGACCGAGTAATGAACCCGATCGATGCGGTCTGAGGTATCTGGCGGGTGAGGAAAAGACACTCACGGTGGCTTGGACTTCTCATTGCGTACTGGAAGTCTCGAGGATATGAGTTCAGATGTGCAAATGTAGTGAACCGCCTGGAAAGGCGTATGAACACTTCTTTTTTGTTTGGACAGAATTTATCGTATGGACATTTTGATTAACGAATTAGCGTATTCAGCCGTATGGACAAAAAACAATACCGTACAAAAGCGTACCCATATGAAACCCATCAACATTTTATCGACAAAAACCCAAACAATTATATTGAAACCCAATCAAACCCAATATTCGGAGGAATTCCAGAAAATTTGTCCAATATTTGACAAAAAAGGCCGGATGCACGGATTTTTTGTACGAACGTGTTTGAACAAAAAGAATGCACATTTGGATTCCCTGGCGGATTGAATACCGCCCCACTACCCCTGAGGATCCAGTCGTACACTCTCAGGTACGGTGATGTGTTCGGCACTGTAGGTGCCAAAACGTCGGGGCCGTTTTCGTACCGAACCTGAGGGGACTCGGTACGACAACGGATTCCTATAGGGCATAATATACGCATGCGCATCCAGAACGAAGAATTCGCTTTGTTCTTCGGATCTCGTGCGGAAGGGTTCGCCCGGAAAAGGAAGGCCTTCACTCACCCGAGAAAAGGGTTCGCTCCGGCGACCGAAAGTGCGCGACCGTCAGAGCGAACGAGGACATATCTTATGACTTGTTCTGATCTGTTCTGATAATCCTTTATGCGTCTTGGACATGAAAGCCAGGTGACCACAGACTTTCAGCATCTCCCTAACATGTAAATGAAATTTGATTGGGCAGTGGGCTGAATATCCTATATAGTGATTGATAAATCCAAATCGGCAGACTCACATGAGGTACATCCAGGTATATCCAGACACCAGGAAAGGTGTTTGTCAATGCGCAAGATCATCAACATGTGGCTCAATTACCCGGACAATCCTTGAACCAGACGGAACATCGCAGGGGTCAGGACAGGAAAAACCACACCCTTTCCATACTTCCCGAAAAAGGATTCCAAGCACATTCTAAGAAGGTGTTTGGACCGGACAACTTTATGCCGGATTCATCGCTGGGCTGTGAAGTTCTCAGCCGTTCATTCCTTTCCCTCCAGAGGGAGAGCTCACTGTGAAATGAGAACTGTGAGCTCACTGTGAAGTGATTCCCACCCAGTGAGCTCACTGTGAAGTGTCTCCAACATTTCCATCCTCCGATGTTTTCACCCCGAAGCGACCCGAACGAGCTCGGCCCCGAATCTTGGGGTCGGAGCTTCCTCCTCGGGACCGGGTCAGGGGTCTGGACCGACCCTCACCAATCCATCGGATTTGGTTCGGGCCCGACGTCGGGCTGTGAACTCACGGAGCGTCTGGGACGTCGTGAGGCAGTCAATCTACAAGAGGCCTTAGCCTCCGCCACAGAGAAAGAGGTGCCGCTATGGCAGGTGGACGGCATGACGCAGGCACGTGAAACGCAGTGCAGCGCTTTTCTGTGGTTTGGTACGGATTGATTCAGAGTGTTGCACTTCGACTCGTCAGCATTGTCAGACAAAAAAGTCCTGTTGTCCCTGGCGAGTACATCAAGGGTTCAGCAGTTTGGGTGGCACAGTGGCTTGCCTGGAACTATACTCAAATTCTCGATTAGATCTGATGATTGAACAAAGCCCAACACTCGTACAGCAGTAATGCGATATAATACCTCAAACATTGAGCCTTAAAACACCCTAAAACCACCCCAATCTGTATAGTATCATTGTTCAATGTACAGATTCCAGTCCCCGTCGGTCGTGGGTTTTGGGACACACTGCCACACACTTCCCTGTCCAATCTGTTGGACGTTGCGAGAAAATCCTTTCCGGATTTCTTGAGAGATGGAGTTGTTTGTATTTGATCACTAAAGGAGGTGTTTGGTTTTGGCATCGCAACAATCTCATCTAACATCCTGAATCTTCAGTGTAAGTCTAACAATCTCGAAGATGTGTATCAAACCAACCTCTAACTTTCACCGCCAGAAAGTGCCATGATCCACCACGTCGTAGCAACTCCCATGGCACGGGTTGAAAAGACCGGCCGATCCGCACCGCAAAACGCCACGCGCGGGTGGAGGTCATTGCGCTGCGAGTCGACACGCGGTGACACGCGAGTCGACACCTCTCGCGTGATCATGCGAACAAAGCTGCATGTGCACCGCGTGTCGAGGTGCTCCTGTCCGTGGAGGGCAAGGACGACTCGCGCGACGCCGAGTCGTGCGACGGATCGGGTGCTTCGGACGAGTTGGTTGAACGGAGGCGGTTCAAGCTGGCGCCTGTGGCCAGCCGTCCTTAGGAGTCGTGACGCGAGGTCGTGGAGGTGACCTTTGGGCCTTAGAAGTGACCAATTTTATCAGATCAAGTTGGGTTCACTCTGAAGAACCCGGTGATTGGTTTTGGCACAAGCAGCGAAAAGCCCGGCGGTGGAGTAGCCTCTCAGGTGATGGTGGACCATGCATTTCTCCATGGCAGCACCATGGAACAAGTGCAACGTGAGCCGAAGCAGATGGTCTTTTCTAGCACCACTCAGTTCGGGTGAAGAATGGCATAGAATGGCCTTACTAGGAGCGATCGGACGCTACGTTGGCTCCTGCCCTAAATACCTCTTCAGGAGGCTCTTTCCAGCACCACTCTTTTTGCGGGGGTGAAGAATGTCTCGGCCTGTCTCGGCCGGGACCTGCGTTCACCGGAAATGCGGAGCGGTGAACGCCAGCGATAGATAGATGGCAGGTGCTCCGATGGTTGATGTGTCAACCTTGGGATCGAAGGTATCAAGCCCTAGGGATCCAGTCGTGCCTTCTCAGGTGATTGGAGACGCTGTAGGTTTCGACGGTCCAGGTACCTTCTTCGTTACTTGGGTCCCCAGGGAAGGACTTCTGGAACATGCGGATCTGCCTTTTTCCGAAGTGCCCCACTCTGGAGCCAACATCTTGTCTTTTGGAAAACCCTGGGCTACACTTCGACATGGACCCTGAGAATGGTACCCTCAAAGACAATTTTCCTCTACAAACTAGTGGTTTTCAGGGTCTATGTTAGTTTTCAGTGGGCTAGTGGCTTTGTTTCTGACACTTTCTTCACATCTGACTGAGCTCTCAACATCAACGACACAGAAGACATCCAGTCGAACGCGAACCGACCGAAGAAGATGGACTATGACATGGTCAAAAGCTGGAGCCCTGGCCCACCATGCCCGCTTTTACTAAGCGACCGACCCCAGCTATAGGTCGCGCCCCTTTAGGTTGTGCCCGAAAGAGCCAGAGGTTGACATAGGTCTACAGCACCTAAAGGATTTACACGGTATATAGACCGTGTTTCATGTCTCGACACCTTCACCACCCAGATCCACTCACCCGAATGCCCATCTGCCCCTCTACGCGCCCCCTCCACTGGTCCGCGCAGCTAGGAGACCTTGTCCTCCGCAGACTTCTTGCGCGCCACGCACTTCCTCCAGCCATGCCAAAGCTTGCTGCAGCTTCGAGCACGCCTAGTCGCCCGCTTTGGATCCCTCGAGGTTGGGGACGTCGGGGCACGGGAACGGGGACGACGGGCGGCACGGGAGTCCCGGGGGTTGTAGCGATCACACACGGCCGGTTCACGGGGAGAACGGGGACGTGGTGGGCTGGGTGATTTCTCACCTCAGAAGTTGGAGGGGTGAAGATGGAGGGGTGAAGATGAAGGTGAATCATCCTTGAGAGTGCTTGAGAGTGGTGTTCAACTGACTTCAACTGAAGCATTTCCAGGGTCATGAAAGGAAGAAGGCGGGGGGTGGTTGCTACAGTATGATCTCTAAGGGTCCAGGATCAGAGGATGTCCCTTATAGTTCCAAATAACTTTATCTAGCTGGAAGTACTTTCACCTCCAAGACCATCCTCAGGAGGGCCTTGACCCCATCCTGGGGATCTCTTTCGGGTTTGGTTTTCTGAACAGCATCGCAGTATCGCACTTTCAGGCAGATCGGGCAACTAGGAGATCCGGATATGTTTTCTGAGCTTATGGGCATTAAATACTTGTCCAATGTGGTCCAGTTCATGGAAACACCAGCCTCTCCTGAGGGTCGAACATCCGTTCGGAGCGGAACAGGCGGCGTTGGAGGCGTTGGAGGCGCACCTGCACCCCTTAGAGGTCTTCTCAGTGGATCAAGTGGCAGCTTGGCGGAGTTGGGACGAGCAGGTCGCGTTTTCCCGGATGGTCCAATTCCCAAACACGACTGGGACTGGCGACGACCCAGAAAAGGCCAGGGGTGGTGGTTGAAGTCGGGGTCAATGTATGGAGCATATGCCAGTCCCATTAGTCGTGTCTGGGATTCAGTGATATTCCACGACCTGCCTTTAGAAGCGAGCTGTTGCATGACAAAACCAGGTGAACTATTTGTTGCAAATGGGGAAGGCACCAGGGCACTTTGCAGAAATGGACCAGTGGAACACGACGTGTGCAGAATTGGACCAGTGGGTCGCTACTCGTAGACACTGAAACCAGCAAAAAGAAACTGGGGGAAACGCCTGGTCCAAAACGTGGCGGTTGCTTCTTCTCTTCGTCGTTTCTTCGCACGTCTCGGGTCCGGCCGTCGCGGAGGTCCGACCTTCCCCAGTCCGACGAAACCGGTCCAACGACGAAACCGACGACGTTTGACGCTCAGGAGGCCTTGTTCCTTGCATGTGGTGTCCTACCATCCGCCCCTCGGCCGTGGAGAACACACACGTCGGTCGTGGTCGTGGTCGTGTTTGTCTCGAAGGTGTCCTTGCTGCGGTGAACCATTTGCAAGGCGGATGGAAAAGGGGGATGTCAGGTTGCGAAAACCACCTCTGACCAGCTTCAGTTTGTGGCCTAACTTGAGATCGCAGGGATTTGAGGTCACGATTTTGGCTTGTAAATGGTCACAAACAGAGACTCCAAAGAGGTCACACTTATATAGGTCTCCAGACAGGATACCCCTTGCCCGGAAGCCCTATAGGTAGATGATACCATCTTGACTGGTCTGAAGCTGCATCTTTACAAGCCTTCTTGAAGGATCTTGGGTGGCCCAAACAGCGCCAGATGCGATGGTTTAGTATATGGTCTGATGCGATTTGCAGGGTCCAGCAACCACAGGGTCCAAGGAAGAGTTCAGGAGAGTGTTTGTACTATCTATAGAGTCCATAGATCCCCTGGGAGTCAAAGACTAATAAAAGAATGGTCTTTAGGGGAACTGAAAGGGAACTTCCTTTACTTCAGCCGGTCAAAATATAGTCTTTGGACTTCTAGGGTTAGATATTTCTTTTTGAAAGACCGAACAATTGCAGCATATTGCAGCAAACATTCTTGTTGGAATCTCCTTAGAGCACTCCTTAAAACAAGGCCACCTATGAGGAACTGTCTCCCCACCCCCGTCTGACGACTTCCCCCCAATCCCACGAGACTTCCCCCCAATCTTCGACTCGTATGGCTGGTATGGCTCAATAGAAAAAACTGAATCCAGAAACCCTCCCTGGATCAGGGAACCAATGGATCAGATCGATCCTAACCACCTTGGAAGGTTCTTTGGTCTTCACTTTTTGCTCCCTCTTTTTTGGGCACACGAAGCTCGCTGCTCGTGTGACTCAAGGACCTGGC